ACACTGAGGGTTGCGATCCGTTGCCGGACATGGAAAAAGACAAAAGACAAAAAAAAAAATAAATAAAAATAAAAATAAAATAAAAAAATAAAAAATAAAAGAATACCGTATTACTTAGCTGAGATGAAATTGGGAAGTTGAGAACAAACAAATCATCTGGCTTTAAACAAATCTTGGCATGAGGCTGCCCTTGGCTCTTGCTGGTATCCTGCCTTCTCCTGCTCACAGGAAAGTAGCCCATGGACTAACACCTTTCTCCTACCTGAGTATTTTCCTTACAGATTCTAAGTTGGCGGACAGCCTGGCAGGGCCAATTGTCCCACCATTGCAGCAAAACAATCCACCTCTACCTAAAGAGCTAGGAACCAGTGGCTTCTTTGGATTTCTAAGGTAAGACAAACTTCTCTTCTGCCATTGAACTGAGATCCAGCTCCAGAGCAGCAATCTAGATTCAGAACTTGCCTCATTGAGTCCTTCAGGGAAATTAGAATAGAGAAGAAAGATTATTTGCACAGGTTTCTGGTTATGTCCAGGATAGATGATGGACATGAGATTGAGAACAAGGGTCCTAATTATGAATTTAATAAAGACTATGTTTTCATTTTTACACAATTCATCCCCACCCTGATGTGCCCAGCATAGGGCCTGTTTCTGTAAACAATGACTGAACAGAGACTATTGTATCACTTGGGTGTGGGTCATTCAGATGATTTGATTACCAAAATGTTTCCATTCTCTCTCCCCTCTGAATCTAGGTTGTGTCTTCAGAGTCCTTTTTGCGGAGGACAATTACCATATCCCTGTATCTATCTAGAGTTCAGCCATCCCAGTGCAATTCTTTTTCTTTATTTCCCCCTCCTGAGTATAATCTAATTTGGGTACCTTTTCAAGTGCTGTTCCAGACTTGAATTTCCATTCAGTGGTTCCCCAGAGCAACAATGCCCTAGCTAATGAAGTACTAATTGGAACTGGGGAGAAGGGAAGAAGACCTTGTAGAGTCTTAGTCTACTCTGCTCTTATTCCTGCAGCTCTCTCTTCCCGTTTCGATATTTCTTCAGGAAGAGCAGCCAGTGAGCCTAAATGCAGCGGTGGAAAGAGGATCATCTCTTGCAGTGGCTCCACCTGAGCCACTCCTCCTTCAGCTCTATCCTTCTCTTATGACACTTCAGTCATGGGGAGTAAAGCCCTCAAACTATCAGAGTCCTCTTATGTGTTTATCCTGTCCTAATGGCAATAAATTATTTATGAAGAGTTATTGATTGATTTCAGTGAAGTAGAGAGAGTAAGAGAAAACAAACGCTTCTCTCAAAATACAGAAAAACAATGCATGAAACTTCCCTTAGGTCTACCTGGTCATTGTTTTCAGGATTACTTTGGGTGGATGTGTCTGTACCTGACCTCAGACCTCAAACATTGCTACCAGGGGTTAGGGAATGGGTTCTTGCAAGACTCACTGTTCTGAGCCCTGCTGATCCAAAAGGAATGATCACCTTCCCAGTTCACCCAGTTAGGCCCCAAAGTGTATGCTGTCCGAAGATGAAATGCTTCCCACCTGTCTATCCCTCTGGCTCTTTGACAGTAACACAGATTACTTTATCAGATTAACTGGCAGTCAGTCCAAGTTAGGGCCTAGAGAAGGCCAGGGCACCTCAGCTCAGTCTTCAACCAAAGGACTTATCTGGAACAGACAGTTTAGACTTGTGTGGCTGCAGACAACCAAAATAATCAGTAAAAATTTAGGGAAGCTCATTTTAGTGCAAGACAAAGAAATTACTTTTAATTTAGAGATGTCCAGTATTAGAATTACTTTGCCTTGTGAGGTAATGAGCCCTTGTCACTTGAAGGCTTTAAATACCTGATTATCTGTCACATGCCAGAGTCATGTCACATGCTAGTCTCCTAATGAGAGTGTGGACCAGACTGCTGAGGTCCCTCTGAGTCCCCTTGCTTTGCTGCCTTTACCTTGAGTGGGGAGACAAGAGATGGAGTGCTGCAGTAGGGCCCAGCAAATGCAGACCCAGGACCTCCCTGAGGGGAGGAGGGGCTGTATAGGAAGCCATAGGGTGTGGGGATTTGAGGATTGGCAACATCAGTAACATCAGTTCCTCTCAAGTCGTATTTACTGTCTTTACCCTACTGTCCCAAACATGGCCTGCTTTACAAAGCTGCTGAAAGGCACAACTCTAAAATGTGGACGGCCCATCCCGAGTCTGACTGGAATACAGTGAAGCCTTGGGAAAGTCGCTTTCCTTATTTTCTCATCTGGAAAAAGGGCATAGGATTTGATGAGCTGTAAAGTGCCTTCTAGCTCTCTAGCTCTGGCAGTCTGTGTGACTGGCCCTGCTCTTTCTGAGCAGGTCAGTGAGGCAAAGCTGGTGGAGGCGGGGGGTTGCTGCCCAGAATCACCACAGGCTTCCTTCTGATCTCTACACTGCCCCAGCCCCTCTGGCTACTACTGACTAGGGGTCTTTTTCCAACTTGTACATTCTTGCTCCAAGAGTAATTTAGCACCATGGATGGACAGCAGGAGATTTGGGTTCTAAATCAGCCCTGACATAAACTAGCTGTGTGACTTTTAGTAACTTTCTTTCTCTGAGCCTTAGTTGCCCCATCTGTAAAACCAGAACTGGACTAAATGACTGGATTTGCTGGACTTGACAGCTTCAGGCTCTTTTAGGAGTCAGATCCCTGTTACTAGAGGAACTAGGGGGACACTCCAGCTCAGAGCCCCACATTGTAGCTGACCCACAGGATGAGAAGTCATCTGCTTGACACTGTGGAAGGAAAACTCTGAAACAGACTTAGTAACTTCCCAGTCTCCCTGGCTCTGCCACTAGGCACATCTCAGGAGACACCCCCCCCCCTACTCTGCTCTTATTCCTGCAGCTCTCTCTTCCCGTTTCGATATTTCTTCAGGAAGAGCAGCCAGTGAGCCTAAATGCAGCGGTGGAAAGAGGATCATCTCTTTCCTCTGCAATTGGTAAGAGACGGGCAGGGCTGAGTTTAATAGTTTGAAGGTTGGGGATAGTAAAGCCCTGAATAGGGAAGTATCCTGCCCAAGGTCACACAGCAAAGAAGAAAATTCAGATGGCCACAACTCAGCCAAAGGCCTTAACCCCTCTCTCTCCAGCTGCACACATGCTGCACTCTCCACCAACTCCTGGGCCTTTCTCCACATCTCACTTCCCTCAGCTCTGGACCATGGGCTACTTTTTGGATAGGGAAGCAAGAGGCAGCAGAAGCCATTCTCTGAGGACCACACCTCAAAGAGCATGATCTCCCAGGTGGGATTGTTCTGAGGCCTCAGGCAAGGAGGCTGGCCCGAAAGCTGATCTCCAAGAGGGCGTGGTTCTAAACTGCTGGCAAATAAAAGCCTGGAGAGACAGCATCAGTCCAGAGACCAGCAGGAGGCACAGGGAGACTACGAGCCACTCAATTCCTGGGCCTTGGAAGTGGTGAGCTCACTGAGGCAGAAGGAGCTTGGGGAGGGCCTCGGGATGTGGACAAGGTTTGTGAAAGCTAAGATGGGGCAGATGGAGGGAGAAAGATGTTTGTGCTCCAGATGGCAAGGGAAGTTCCAGGGGAGAATCACCACACATAGGGCTTACACCTAAGTCCCATCCAGAAACAGCTGCTTACACTCACACCCATCCTGACACTTGCACGCGCATGCACACACACACACACACACACACACACACACACACACACAGATACAGAGAAAAGACAGCCTCACTCAAGCACACCTCACCTGTCAGACCAGCCAGCCCTGGCCGACTCACCAGGAGGCATGCAGTATTTAAAGAACTCCTCCTCCCACCTGCATACCCATAGTGAGACATCTACCCATTGTGTTTCAGATGCCCATAGTGTCCCCCCAAACCCTGCTCCTCTGCCTGCTGGTCCTGGCAGTCATGGAAGGCCAGGGTCGGGAGGCAGCCATCCCAGGCTGCCACTTGCACCGTGAGTACCTCTGGGACCAGAGGGCTGGAGGGAGTGGAAATTCTGGGTGGGAGCAAAGAGCTGATAGACTGCACTTTGGGGTAGGCAGCACTCTAGATGGACCCAAACTGAGGAACAGACAACAGGAGCTGGGGCAAGCCTTTGAAGAATTGCCACCAACTGCTCACCCATCTCCTTCTAGCCATCAACGTGACAGTGCGAAGTGACCGCCAAGGCACCTGCCAGGGCTCCCATGTGGTACAAGCCTGTGTGGGCCACTGTGAGTCCAGTGCCTTCCCCTCCCGGTACTCTGTGCTGGTGGCCAGTGGCTATCGACACAACATCACCTCCATCTCTCAGTGCTGCACCATCAGCAGCCTGAAGAAGGTGAGGAGGGCCCAGCCCAGTGATGGGACATTGGGGGTTGGGGGAAAGACAAAGGAGATGGGGATCGAAGATGGCCCTATGAAGGGGGGCTGGAATGTGGACTCCCCTGTCCCACAGGTGAAGGTGCAGCTGCAGTGTGTGGGGACCCGAAGGGAGGAGCTCGAGATCTTCACAGCCAAGGCCTGCCAGTGTGACATGTGTCGCCTCTCACGCTACTAGTTCATCCTCTTCCCTCCTCTCTCCCCTGGGTTAGAGGGTTTGAAGTTCTGGTAGGAAAGCCTGGTCTGGGATTCAAACACTGGAGGGAGTTCCAACCCTGCTGGCTACTTGCGATTGGATTTTGTAAATGAGGGGTTTGCTCCAGCTCTTACCCTCTTAAGATTTTGTGACTGTCACCTCCTGAGAAGAGGGGAATTTTTGCCTCTTCCCTTTCTCTGCTTGGCCCTTCTAACCAGTCTTTCATCATTTTACTTCCTTTTTTGCCCTACCCCTAAATAAAGCAAGCAGCTCTTCAGTTTCTCTCTTTATTAAGTCTACCCCAGCCAGAGGAAGGGAGATAGGCAATGATTACTGTGACCCGCCCCCCCTTACCCCAGGACACTGTGAATCTGTTCCTGTTTGTGCCCTCACCCCTCCCCCTGCCCAATAAATAAAGAGGGGACAAGGAAGTATAGGGCAAGGGAGGGGAGGGAAGGAAGATGCCCCAGGCCCAGGACAGTGTCTGTATTGAGGGTAAGCAGGGCGAGAATAAATAGACCATGGACCCCCACGGTGGGGATGAGAAAGGATGTCGTGCTGGCCTGAGGCAGGGGAAGATCCCTGATGGCAGCTTCCTGGTCAAGCTTGCCCTGGTCAAGTCCTGCCATGCGGGCCTGAGAGTTCTGTTGCCAAGACCACCTCTCCTCTCCTCGTCTGCCCCCTGGTAAAAACTGCCCACACTGGACTGGGCAGGGAGTCCTCAGAGCCCACTCTGGCAAGGCCAGGGATAAGTGTGTATCTCTCTGGGCCCCTGGGCAGGAGGAGGGATGGAGGGACTGATAGCTCTGGGTTTAGCTTCTCCCTTTCTGGGAGGCTCTCTAGCTCTGACCCCCACTGGTGGCCACCTGGGGTGTAAGCCGCTGGAGGGGGGCCTCCCTGGCCCCCTGGGTCCCCTGTAGTCGGCGTAGCCGCAGTTCCTCCAGGCCTTGCCATAGCTCCTGACGCTCCCGGGCCTTCTGCTGCTCCCTGTGGAGAGAGGTGAGGCAGCTCTCCTACCTGGAGCCCCCCATAGTCGAGCCTCCCTCACCACCACCCCAACTGCAAAGGGAGGGCACGGAACTGTTTTCTGTTCTGTGACTCTGTAGGAACTCTCTGCTTAGGGAAGCACTGAGGAGGGACTGATCCCAGGCCACAGTCGTGGAGAAGATGAACTGGCCAGGCTCTGAGTGGCCCTGGCTGAAGGGTAGGAAGCACTGCAAAGGGAGGGCACGGAACTGTTTTCTGTTCTGTGACTCTGTAGGAACTCTCTGCTTAGGGAAGCACTGAGGAGGGACTGATCCCAGGTCACAGTCGTGGAGAAGATGAACTGGCCAGGCTCTGAGTGGCCCTGGCTGAAGGGTAGGAAGCTACAGGTAGTCAGAACAGGGTGGTACCTGGAAGAACTACTTGGAAGAATGACTGGAGGATGCAGTGGGCAATCGGGCATAGGATGGCCCAGCACTTGGCAGGAACATGAGGGAGAGACTTTAAACATCTGATCAAATAGGACTTGGAGTAGTCCTCTAAAGTTCCCTCCAGCCTTGAGGATCTGCTTTCTTCCTGCTTTTCTCCCCTCTCCCCAATGCCTAGTCCCCCAAGACTTACTGCTGCTTTTCCAGCTTGTAGGAGGCTGTGAGCTCATCAAACAGCTTTCCATTCATCTCCATGAAGGTCTTGAGCACATTGTAGATCAGAGATACGATGGTTCTTGGCAGCGTCAAGGGAGGAGGTTGAGATGAGAACAACATGCACTGGGACCAGTTTGGTGTGTTCCCTTTGAGAACTTTTTCTGTGCATTTGCGTACGTGTGTACATACCCACAGAAAATACACAAGGTAGCATATTATAAAGATCATTCTGCAACTCTCTTTTTTATCCTGAAAAAGTATTTTAGAGAGCTTCCCAAGTCAAAATATGTAATTTAGCTTCATCCTTTTAAAGGCTGCAATGGATGTCATGGTTTGGACTCTGGATAGTTCATTTCACCAGCTACCTACAGAGGGACATGTAAGGTGTTGTTAATGGGCGGTCTCACAATAGCTATTCTAACCCATGCTCTTTAGGGCACATCCTTCAGAAAAATGAAAGTGCTGGGTGGGGGCTTGCACATTTAAAATTTTAATAAATGCTGAGAAATTATCCTCCAAGGGGATCCTATCAATATACACACCCAAGAGAGAATTTTCCACATATTCCCCAAGTGATATAACACAGTTTAATTTTTAATCTGATGGGCGATCCCTTTTTAATTTTTTTAAATTGTTAAAAAATGTTACCTGTAACAATTTAAACAATGGAAATGTCTAGAGTCCAAATCAGAAGTTCCCTGTTCACTTTTTTCCATTTCTGATTTCATGCCCCTCTCCAGAAGCACCACTGTTACATGTTTAAAGTGTGTCCTTCCAGATTTTCTTTATGCATTTACATAATATGCATTTATAACTATTTATAACTATATGTTGATTTTGAATGCATACGTGTTATCACTGTATTGTGTATTGTTCTGGAACTTGCTATGCTGCCTCCCTCCCTTTGCCCATCCCCAATTTTTAACATCTCTTGTCATACTAGTTTTTATAAAATTAAGTTTACTGACTGCTTGTATCCATCGCTACCCCCAAACCCAGGCCCCCCGACCTCCATACACCCCATCCTCAAGGCTCATCTGACCCACTGGAGGAAGCAAGATGGTGCAGAGAAAAGAGCACTGGATTTGGAGTCCAGCACTCGGAGGCAAATTTTCACTACAGACTCCACTACATCCACATGACCTTGAACGAGACATTTAACCTCTCAGTCTCAGTTTCCTCATTTGTAAAACGGGGCTAATAATACCTACCTCCACAGGGCTGTTCTAAGAATCAAATGAGATACTGGACTTTAAGATATTTTATAAACTGGGCCGGCCCGTGGCTCACTCGGGAGAGTGTGGTGCTGATAACACTAAGGCCACGGGTTCGGATCCCATATAGGGATGGCTGGTTCACTCACTGGGTGAGTGTGGTGCTGACAACACCAAGTCAAGGGTTAAGATCCCCTTACTGGTCATCTTTAAAAAAAAAAAAAAAAGATGTTTTATAAACTGAAGTACCAGTGTCACTGTGAGGAAGAATTGACTTCCACTGGCTTATAGCTCACAAGAATGGGAAAACATCTGCACATACAATGTAGGAGAACATGAGTTACAGCTAGCTGGGATGATGCAGGGAAGCCTGGTGTGGTCCTAAAGTGGGACTAATGAAATCTAAGCCCACTAAGAAAAGGGGAAAAATGATAACAACCCTCCACTCCATTCTGGAGCATACTTCAGTTTACCAAACATGTTTATACTCATCATCTCTTTGATCCTTATCACTACCCTGTGAAGAGATCATTGTTGGCCCATTTTACAGATGAGGAAGCTAATTCAGACTCAGAGTGGTGAAGTGATTTGCCTGAAGCCCCTCAGCCAGTGGAAGGCAGATCTGAGGCTTGACCCTAGGTCTCCTGACCATCAGCGTCTCCCCATTATCAGACCCAGGAATGCAAGAGAACCTGAGGGCAGAGGGAGCTGTGTTAGGCCAACTAGCTGACCTTCCCAGGCCATACCTCTGCTCCCACCACCACCTGTCCCTACCATACCTGGAAATGGGGGCTGGAAACACAGCGAGCCACCTGCTTGAAGAGGGGCTCCTGGATCTTCACAAACTGGGAAGGCTCGATGACATCAAGAATCTCTTCCATCTCCCCCAGAAACATCACCTGGAGGCAGGGGTAGGGACAGAGAGACAGCTGCTCACATCTCCCCCCAATGCACATACACCTGACTGCCTCCTGGAAGCCGAGCCCTCCCAACCTCCCTGGTGGGCATCAAAGCCCTTCTTCATACCTCCTTCTGTGTGCAGGTTTTTGGCCAGTATTTGAGCAGCCCCCGGATCACCTGTGGGGGTTGAGGCAGAAAGGAGTCAAACCTGCAGAGGTAAGAGGCCTGCCTTCCCCCCAGAGCTACTCACGTGCTCTGTCAAGGTGGCATCCTTCTCCAGGAACTGCACCACACAGTATGCCAGCTGTAAGGGGTGTGGGGTAGAGAGAAAGAAGCCGGGGGTCAGCAGAAGGCTGAGTGCCAAGGACTGACTGCCCAGGACAGGATGCCAGACATTTGCTCACTTACTGTCTCCCACTCTCTTATTCACCAAGCATTTACTAACTGCTAGGACGTACATTTACTAGGACATACCAGGCACCACGCTCAGTGTGCTGGGAATATAATGATGATCTCACAGGGGAAACAGTCAGCAAACTAATCCTTATAAATTTTGCAGAAGGTTCAGTAGTAGAATTCTGTATCACAATCTTTGGGAATATAGTAGGAGGAGAGTTTACTTCTGACTAGGGGAAGGGGCTGAGTAAGGCTTCACAGAGCTGATGCCTGAGGTCAGCCTTAAAGGGTCAGTGGGAACTGTCTAAGGTAGATGGAACAGAATTAGTACAGATAAAGAAGGCAAGGTAGCATCCCATGAGTGTCAAGCTAACCTCCAGCCCTAACCTCTGACTCCTGATAGAGTCAGAGACCCCACTGGCTTCTCTGACTCTATCAGGAGCTCCTCTTGCAGTAGGGCCAGGCCCAGGCCTCACCTGGGCATGAAAGACAGACAGTGACTTGACTGAGTGTAGGGGAATCAGGACACGAACCAGGAACTGCTTGTGCTCAGTCTTCAGGGGCAGCGCAAAGCCATTTATGATGCTGAGGAGGAGGCAGAAGAGAGGAGGGCTCAGATAACCTCAGTCCCTCCTCCCAGAATCCTAAACTCCACCTGAGGCCCAGGGACAATTACCTTCCTAAGATCTCCAGCAGCTCAGCCACACCATTGAAGTGCTCGTATTCATAGATGAAACTGAGAGAAGAATGCAGGAGGGCTCAGAGCAGTGGGGGTAGGTTCAGCCCACCCCACGCCCACCCCTTAGCCATCCTGCCTGCCCACCTTTACACACATTGCACACTCATCCTCACCCAGAGGTCACAATCCCTTCCCAGTGCCCCAAACCAGGCCTCACTGAGATCAACACTGACCTCTGAAATACCCTTCTCAGCGCAGCCACCTCTGCCACTGAGTCCCAGCTCAACCCTTTCTTCCATGAAGTGTTCCAGCTCATCTTATTCTCCCCCAGACCCTAACCCTCATCACCGCAGCTCCATCCAATCAGCAGGCACCCAGCCTATATCTTTCATTCTTCATGCCAGTCAACCAAAAGAATAACAAACACTTAGAGAATCTACTGTGTACCATGTAATTCTCAAAACTGTCCCAGGAGGAAGGGCTTATTAAATCCACTTTACAGATGAAGGAATCAAGACTCTGTGGTTAAATGAAACTTGCCTCAAAGTATTCTTCATGCCAGTCAACCAAAAGAATAACAAACACTTAGAGAATCTACTGTGTACCATGTAATTCTCAAAACTGTCCCAGGAGGAAGGGCTTAGTTAAATCCACTTTACAGATGAAGGAATCAAGACTCTGTGGTTAAATGAAACTTGCCTCAAAGTTAGTAAATGGAGAATCTAATGGACTCCAAGCTCCTGGAGGACAGGGGTCATGTCCTCCCTATTTTGTAGCTAATAACGATAAAAGCTAATGTTTCAGAGTCCCAGCCTTGGTCCAGGAACCATATTGAGTGCTTTGGAGGCATTGCTTCACTTCACCTTGATGATGGTCCCTAACTTAGTACAGGTGGCATCCCCATTTTAATGGTGAAGAAACTAGGAGAGAGCTTAAGTAGTTTGCCCAAGTTTACCCAAATAATGGAACCAAACTCAAATGCAAGCCATCTAACTCCAGAGCCGTGATCTCAACTACAAGGCCAATGTGGGCCACTGATGCCTAGTGGATGTTTGTCCTCAATATACATTTGCAGAAAGAATCTCTCTCTCTTTGGGTCCTTATGGCCCAGCAGGATAAGGTTCAGAAGATTTAGATCCTAGGATTTAGATCCTAGATTGACCTCATCCCTACAAACCACTTCATCTCCCTCAGCCTCCATTTTCTCTTTTGTAAAATGGAAATTAGGGCTCGCCAGTTAGCTCAGTTGGTTAGAGAACAGCCTCATAACACCAAGGTTCAGAGGTTCAGATCCCTGTACCAGCCAGCCGCCAAAAAAAAGGGAAATTAATACCCATTCTCTGCTGACTTCACAGGCTTTGTGTAATCAATATTATGTAATATGTTACCAAGAGAGCCTTTGCCTCAATCTTCCTAACACGTCTCCCTCCCTCCCCCAGGCTCTGCTGGGCAGGCAACAGCCACTCACCGGAGGAAGATGTGATTGCACTGTTTGCGGATATAGGCCCGGAGACCCAGGAACTTGCCATAGACTCGGTGCAGGATGGTCTTGAGGTACTCACGCTCTCGGGGGTCCTCGCTATCAAATAGCTCCAGGAGCTGTGGGACCCAGGATCAGGGGTCAGGTGAGAGGTCAACCCCAGGATGCTTCCATCCTATCCCACACTCCTCGGAGAGCCTGCCCCTGCCCTATGGTACCACCCAGCTTGGGTTCCCCACTTCACCATCAGGACAAACTTTTGATCCACATATCTCTTGGCCACAGAGGGCTGGAAGTCTGGGCTCTCCAAGAAACGCAGGAAAAACTCATATACCAGCTGGGGGAGGGGGACAGACAAAAAAGAGAATTCAGTAACAGCCTCACCCACTCACCCCACCCTGTGGTCCTCATCCAATAGTCTAGGGGCTAAGGAGACCCTCTCCCCTCTCCTCAGATCTCTTCCAAAACTTGGATCCCTGCTCTCCCCAGCCCTTCACACCTGCAGATGGGGCCATGAAGGCTCAAGGTTGGGTTCATCCTCTTCAGGATCAAATTCAGGGTTCTCACTGGGTGGCAGGGTCCGGAAGATATTCACTGAGATCTGAGGGGCAGAGTTGGGGTTCTTTAAGGAATAGCCCTTGAATGCAGAAACCAGGGGGTCCTTCATCCAAAGTTGTAATGGGTCAACCTCAGCACCTACCCCAGCAAGCAATTCATTCCTTGGGTAATCATCACCTGAACACCTAGTTCATGCAAGCCCTGGGCCAGGGGCTTGGGGACCCAAGGGTGGATGAAATGCAATCCAGTGGGAAAGACAAGATCAAAAGCAGTGAGGTCTACAGGCATTTTGGGCAAAAAAAGAGAAATTTCTAACTTGGGCATTGAGAGAGGCTTCATGGAAGAGGCAGCACCTGAGCCAGGCAGTGGAAGGTAAGGGGCATGGGCACTACAGGCCTCAGGCAAACATAAGCAAAGGTGCAGAGGTGGGACAGGCCAGGAGGGACCAAGTGGGTGCAGGGCAGCAATGGGGTCAAGGGGAAGGAAGACATGGGCCTTGAGTTGAGACCAAGCTGAAGAGTGTAGGGTTTATTCTCCACACAGGGTTCCTGTGGGCGGGTCAGTAGGGTTCATGTACCCCTCAGCCATCCCCCAGGGTCTGAGTGCCTGGTGCTCACCATGCGGATGATGTCCGGGTAGACAGGCTCGATCAGGACGCCCCGGGTGCTCCCCACACATTCCACCAGCTCATTGAGTGCTGCTCGCTTCACCTCCTTCCCCTTTAGGTCAGCCACGCAGTCCAAGAAGTCAAACATCACCCCACACTGGGCCAGCTTCCGGCTCAGCAGCTCATGCAGCTCAGAGGCTGGCACATCTGGGGAGGGAGGGAAGGCAGCTGAGCCTGGGTCCCAGCTACCACAGCCCTGGGTGGGGTGGACCCTTCTAATTCTTAGGGCTGGGTCTTGAGGCAGCCTCTGCAGCCACCAAACCCCATGCTCTGGTGCCACCTCCCACTCCTTGCAGACAGCAAACAACTCTTGTCCTTTCCTCCACCCCCAGGGGTTAGGGGCCCTTCTTCTTTTCCTCCTAATCCAGGTTCACAGAGTATGATGGCCTGATTTTAAAGCAAGATCACAAACTCTGGATGTGTGGGCTTTCCACAGGTGACCCAAACAGCCACTGCCTCCCTCTCATAGGTGGCACCCTGTTCTAAGAGCTGGACGGGGGGAGCTCAGGGCCATGGGTCTCTAGGGTGCCCTCTGGCTCTGCCAGTCTGGCCAGTGGCACAGGGATGGGGGTAGGGGCTACACAGTGATCACAGGGAGCCATGTCAAGCACCTGCTGCAGGCAGCTGGCTGGGCTGATAGTGGCCTCCTGTAACCCAGGCTGTGGGCCCCACCCTTGGCCCTGGTCTGCCCCCCAGGGTGACGCCATTCCAGATGCCCCACCTCCAGGGATGACAGGCCAGTCAGGCCATGCGTCAGCAGAGAGCCAGAGAGCTGGGGGTCAGTTCCAATGGTAGAGTAGTTCCTAGCCTGGAAGGGGCCACCCAAACTCCCCCTGATGGCAGCTGCCTAGCTGGTCCCCTCCTGGGCTCAGGTACCGAGGCAGCCAGCAGCTGGCTCACCTTTGAGCAGGGGCAGTGGCGTGAGCTCTTGCTGGTTGCTCTGATAGCGGAACTGAGAGGAGCTGTGGGAGCGCCTGGGCCGGGCCCTGCGGAGGGAACGGCGGGAGAAGCCATCCACCTTGTCGGGTGGGGGCACAGGCGACAGCCCCGGGGAGGAGGGGCTGGTAGGGGTGCTCGCAGGAGGCAGCTTCGTCTCCATGGCAGACAGGCGGCAGATCAAGCTTTCAGAGCCCCCGAGGTTCCCTCTGGGCTTGGAGGATGCTGGGTGAGGCTGGGTGGACTAACTCGGGCCCATCCTGTCGGGGCATTGGGGGGGGGGGCACAACCACAGTCCTGGGCCCCCCCCCAGGGCCTTTGACGACTGTCCAGTCCTGGGGGGCAGGCAGGGTAGAAAGGAGGCTGGCTCAGGCCTAAGGTCCTTCCGGAGGGTCCAGAAGAATCCAGTTATAGCTCCCACCCTGGCTCTTTTGAAAATGAAGTCAGGGCAGAAAGGTCAGCAAGAAAGAGACAGAGAGAGCCAGTCATTTCTTTGAGGAGAGACAATCTGTGAGGCTGCAACTAAGTGCCCATGTCCTCTTTTCCCTCCTACCCTTGCCCAGACCTAAACAGGAGTGCAGCCCCCTCCCATCAGAGACATGTCCCTCCCTTCTCCCAGATCTAAAGGGCCCAGGCTCCAAAATAACCCCTCCCAGAATAGGCCCTATCCCCCAAGCCAGCCCCTACTCAGTGCTTGCCCTGTTCCTCGTCCCTACCCCTTACAGGATGTGGCTGTACCTGATCCACCGACGCTGGCCGCTGTGGACCCTCCCCAGGACTGAGGGCCCTATCCCCATGCCACCCGCCTCCTAGAAGCCAGCACCCTCCCCCCACCTCAGCTCCTCCTTCCTGGCCCCCAAACCTCATAGTGGGGCGGGGGGACGCTCACTTCTCAGAAACCCAGACTTTGGTCGCTGACCCCCGGGGGCGTTTGTTCAGGACTCCTTCGGGGCGGTTCCGCTCGGGGCGCTGGGGCTGGGCGGCGGCGCTCCTGGGTTCTCTGCCGGGTTCCGGGGAGGGGGCTGGAGCATGCCCCGAGCTTGGCCCCGGGTCGAGGCCGGGCGCACGGAAGGCTCTGGGCTGGCCCCAGCAGTGCGCGAACCTCCGCTGAGTGGTGGGACTCGGATCCGGCGCGGCGCGGCGCAGTGGGAGCCCCAGCTCTGTGCGCACCGGCACCCGCCGCCCAGCTGCTCAGGATGACATCAAGTCACCTCCCCCCGCTCGGCCCGCACCTCCCAACGGGCGGGGGGGCGAGGACTGCGTCAGGGAGGCCCCGGGGCCGCTGGGAGATGTAGTCCCCGCACCGCTTAAAGGGAGCTACCAGACCGAAGGGGTAAGCACTGAGGGCGGACTCCAGGGCAAGGGCTGAAGCTTTGGAAGTCAGAGAGCAGAAAGGGATGGGTTCCAGCTGGGGGCTGGACTCCCGGATTCTGGAAGGGAGACAGCATAGGGAAAGAGAAGGACTCGACTTTGTACCAGGAATCCGTATGGTGTCAGGACACTGGCAGGAAAAGAGGGCTAGCATGCTATGCCCAGCCCACAGCTTTGGCCTGGGCCATCCATGCCCCAGGCCATCCCCATAGGAACCCCACTCTCACCCCAGAATGGCCCGACACTTCAGAAACCCCTGAAATCCGGAACTGGACTAGTTAATAGTCTGTGGTGAGTCAGAACCTGCTGGGAGGGGTGTGGTTTGCCACAGGCTACTGGGAAATGCAGTCCATCTTCAGACCTGCAGTCCCCCTCCCATCCCTTGCTGTCTACAGTGACATCATGGTCTGGGTTTAAAGGGCCAGCCCTGGAGTGGCAAAATGTGAGAGCAAGACGTGCTGTTCTGGAGCTGCCACCCCACCCCAGGCAGCCTGGCCTCCCCATATGGACCTCCCAGCTCCTCTGGGCCCTAACATGTGCTAGTGGGTGTGTGGGGTGGTGTCTTGTTCAAAATCTTGCTGTTGTTGTTGGGTTCAAAACCCAACACACAGGTAGGTTCCAGGAGTTTGGCATTCTGGCCAAAAGTTCTGGGCCTGAAGTCTTGGGCCCCCTTCCCAGGTCCCTGGACCACAACACCCTTTTTTCCCCTGAACTCCATCTCCCTGCACTGCTGTGAAATCTCCACCCTGAAGTTTTGCCTGGATGAACATTTGGTCCATGCTGAGCAGCAGGAGAGGATAATGAGACTAGATAATGAGGTCAGGGAGAGGCTAGGCCCCTTTTCAGAGTCTGCCCCACCCTACTTTGGGCCTTCGTGACCACTCAGTGCTCCAGTGGAACCGCCCATACATCCTCCCTGCTGCTGAGGGAGCCTGGGTACCTAAGAGGTGCCCGCCCAACAGAGGCCTGTACTGAGGGCAGACAGTTTAGCCAGGCTGGGCCAAGACTATATCAATGGAGACATGACCAGCGCTCCCCTTGCTCGGAAATCTTCAGCAGTCCTTGCCCATCTGGTTCTCCATGTCCTTGTTTGTTAAATGGGAACTCATAATCTCCCTCCTTGTCCACCTCCCAGGCCCAGGAGGTGAAGCCTCTCCCTTATCTCTGAACAACAAGCTGGGGCTCCCACAGAGCCTTCTACAGACAGGCAAAGGACCCCAAGACCCAGAGAGAAGTGTCTTGCCCAAAGCGACCCAGTCCCCTTACCAAAAGCTGGTCAGAAGGCTGGCTGGTTACTCAGTTGGTTAGAGCGCCACCCTGTAACACCAAAGTCAAGGGTTCAGATCCCCCTTGCCAGCCAGCCGCCAAACAAACAAACAAACAAACAAGCTGATCAGAGGCCAGGCTTCCACCTCCCAGCTGTCTCTAGCCCTCCACCACGGGCCCTCTGGGGACCAGTACCCTGGTCTCAAGGCCAGACTGGCTACAGAAGGCTGGTGCTTTGTACAAAGGAGGTGCTCTGTTTAAGGACTGAAGGATGGAAGAGAGGCATAAGACTTCTGAAAGAAGTGATATTTGAACTGAGTCTCAAAATAGGCACAATGTCACCTGGGGGGTGCAGGGTTGAAAATCCTTTCCTTTTTAAAACATCTTTATTGAGATATCATTCACATACCATAAAATTCACCCATTTGGGAGTTGTTGTTTAATGAGTATAGCATTTCAGTTTTGCAAGATGAAAAAGTTCTGTTGTTGCACAACAATGTAAATATACTTAACACTACTGAACCATACAGTTAAAATGGTATTAAGGTGGTAAAATTTATGTTATGTATATTTTACCACAATTTAAACAAAATGCATTACATTGTGATATATGTATGCAATGATATATATTTAAAAAAATTCACCCATTTTAGTTGTACAATTTAACAGTTTTTACTGTATTCATAGATTAAATTTCTTTTTTTTCAGGTGTGTCCATATCCCACTGTACTCCTGGTTGCCTCTGATCTACCCTGGTGGAGCTCCTTTGGCCTGGACACCTTGTTCCTAGTCATCTTCCCGGGGAACCTCCTCCCTCCAGCTCCATCCAGTTTTGAGGCATGGCCTCTCTTCTTCCTGGAAAGCCCTTCCCTCTGATAAAATCCAAGTCCTCCACCAAGGACTAAATCAAAAGCTGCAGCCCCCCAGGCCACCTACCATGATCCCTTCCACACCTATCCTAATCCCACTGAAGAAATTCCCAAAGGGTAGGCCATCCCTGGGGGAAGGGAGAGACTCCCCCAGGGCCTCTGATGCCTAGAGAACAGTTTGCCTGATGAGTTTGCACCTAATCTAGGGTGGGGAGGCCCCACCCCATCCCCTGGGCAAAGCCTGCCCCTCCCCCTCTTCTCTCTAAGGGGAGGAACCCTGGCCCCATCCTTCCCCAGACCTTTTGAGTTGACAGGGATCCAGTCACCACTAATGCAATGCCCAGTGTATTTCTTAGGACTAGTGGACCTAAACAGGGGCCTGGGATTTAATCCCAGAAACACCCCAATAGGGTCCTCAAGAGAATATTGTCCCTTTACCCTGCCAGTATTTTAAATTCACCCATTCAGCTTCTATTCCAGGGCCTGGGCTAGGTTGTGGAATGAGTGTCTTTGGAGTTGGTTTTCTGTGGAGCTTGTGATTAATTATCTGGGGAAGGTGGCAGAAGGACTTCCCCTCTGTACAATTTAACAGTTTTTACTGTATTCATAGATTAAATTTCTTTTTTTTCAGGTGTGTCCATATCCCACTGTACTCCTGGTTGCCTCTGATCTACCCTGGTGGAGCTCCTTTGGCCTGGACACCTTGTTCCTAGTCATCTTCCCGGGGAACCTCCTCCCTCCAGCTCCATCCAGTTTTGAGGCATGGCCTCTCTTCTTCCTGGAAAGCCCTTCCCTCTGATAAAATCCAAGTCCTCCACCAAGGACTAAATCAAAAGCTGCAGCCCCCCAGGCCACCTACCATGATCCCTTCCACACCTATCCTAATCCCACTGAAGAAATTCCCAAAGGGTAGGCCATCCCTGGGGGAAGGGAGAGACTCCCCCAGGGCCTCTGATGCCTAGAGAACAGTTTGCCTGATGAGTTTGCACCTAATCTAGGGTGGGGAGGCCCCACCCCATCCCCTGGGCAAAGCCTGCCCCTCCCCCTCTTCTCTCTAAGGGGAGGAACCCTGGCCCCATCCTTCCCCAGACCTTTTGAGTTGACAGGGATCCAGTCACCACTAATGCAATGCCCAGTGTATTTCTTAGGACTAGTGGACCTAAACAGGGGCCTGGGATTTAATCCCAGAAACACCCCAATAGGGTCCTCAAGAGAATATTGTCCCTTTACCCTGCCAGTATTTTAAATTCACCCATTCAGCTTCTATTCCAGGGCCTGGGCTAGGTTGTGGAATGAGTGTCTTTGGAGTTGGTTTTCTGTGGAGCTTGTGATTAATTATCTGGGGAAGGTGGCAGAAGGACTTCCCCTCTCACTCCTGTCTAATCCTCTGCTGTGGTGCACACACTGCACTGGGAATCTGGCTCAGGAATAGACTGACAAGCATCAACTCCTAAGAGATAGACATGGCAACCAGTCAAGTTATAATGAGAGATGTGAGTGCAGCCTGACCCTGGAGAGAGGCAGACTTGGGAAGCAGCCACCTCAGAGGGCATTGGGGGTCTAGACACAGGGAATTACCCTGTGTCCCCAGACTTTGCATATGCTGCACCCCATCCCCAGGGCAGGAGATGGTCACTCCCTCCTAGACTGGACACAAAGACAACTTTCCTGGACTCCAGGAGAACACACCCTTCTATTTCTACTGCCTTTAGGAGTAGTGCTCATTCATTTACTTGCTCCATAGGCACTTAGGCACACAGCCCGTTTCCTCTCCAGTAAAACGAGGATTTTTTTTTTTTTTTTTTTTAAAGATGACCAGTAAGGGGATCTTAACCCTTGACTTGG